TTTTTTTTTTCCTTCCAGTTTTCTGCTCACCTGACCGACAACCAACCAACCAACCAATCACAGGGCATCTTCCAGCTGGCCACGCCCCTTTCACGCAACCATGACATCTTCACCATGCGCCATCTCTGACTTCTGTTCCCATGACGACCCCCCCTCCCCCTTCAGAACCACACAGTCCGACTGACTGTTGCCTTGGAAACATTGAAACCAAACATCTAAGGATTGCCGCGGCGGCCATGTTGAAGATGAAGATGATGACTCAACAGGAAATAAAGGGGCTGTCCAAAAACCAACTGCCCAGATTTAAACTACGGTTCCCATGATGCTCTCTGCAGGGGGAGTGGCCTCTTGCTTTCTACTTTTTAAATGTTTATTTTTCTCCTTTTTACTTCCAGCAGTCGAACCTGTGGATCCATTCAGTGATTACTGTTATTACTAAGGTGGTTATTATTCTGTGTGAAAAAGATATAAAAGTCAGTTAATGTTTTTTATTTTTGGGGGAGTGGGTGGGAAGGGCGGGGGGTGCAGCAGGTCATGTGGTTAGCTCACCGCGCTAGTAGCATCAAGCTAACGTGAGTTTTTACAGGAGAGAGTTGCCAAAATTAAGATAAAATGCTAACTTCAGCTGTACGACATTTTTTAATTTTTTATTCTAGCCCATTAACGATGCCAATAACGAGTTAAATCAAGAGCTTTGCTAATGGCTAGATATCAGTTCCAGAAGCAACTTAAATGCATTGTTTTCGGAGGGAATGCTAACACACAGTTCGTGAAGTATTAGCTTTATTTAGCATTGTCTTCTTCTTTAAGAAATGACTGTGAACTTACTGGATGGCTTTAGGTTACTTTGTTAGCATTGCAGCTATTCAAATGTATTTCAAATAATGTGAGAAAAAACTATGTATGTGGTGTTAGCATTATTGAATTAATGGTAGCTTGGCTAGTTAGCATGTCAGTGAGGAAAAGTATTGAGTTTCAAAACATCAACAATGAAACTTGAAAATTTTGAGGCAAAATATAAGAACAGCAAATGTGATTGTTGTAGGGGATGCTAACAACGCCACTCAAATAATAGTGTCTGAGTCCTAGCTTGTTAGCGTAGCAGCGTGGTGAGCTGACTCTGGATCTGCTGCTCAGGGCGGACATGTTGCCTTCAGACAGCACTCACACTGGTCCTGTGTGTGTTTGTGTGTGTGTGTATGTGAGTGTGTTTGTGAATTTGTTTGAGTGTGTGTTTCTGTGTGTATGTGTGCTAAATAACAATTATGAACCACGCCATTTTCTGTGATTAACTTTTTTGACCCGGGGGAATAGGGAGGGTGTTATAGAGTATTATTAACCATCATTATTACCTGATTATTAATGTTATTAACACGTCTGAGAGGGAAACACTGAGTTATTCTGCATAACGTCCTTTAACTGATGGGGATATATTTAAATATCCATCTATGGAGGATCAAACATTACCGAAAAAGTTGTTCCTTCATATTCCTGCACGCCCGCATTGTCAAGTTGAGTATTTCATGCTAGCACTTAGGCAAACTCTGCGTTGTAGCCCAAAGCTAACATGCTATAGCGTTAGCATTGAGTGCTGCCGCCAAATGGATTGTCGCGTTTTCTTACAAATTTCATTTTTGCAAAGAAAACGTGAAAATGTGCTAAGTTTTCATCGTCTGTGTAGCAGTGAAAAAACTCTGCTACACAAATAGTAGTTTTGTCAGACGTTTGCGTGATGATGTATATTTCAATTACTCCTTTATGTCAGCTACTATCGGACATATTTTTCCACGTTATGGTAAAATCCAAGAAGACTGAAATGTTTTTGTTGTTGGTAGTTGGCTAAATCCGAACTTTCGCATCTAAGCCTTTTGCATAACCCATTTAGGGCATTAACTATTTTAAAAAGGCAAAAACACGCCTCAAGTTGCGTAAAAACATTTCAGTGTAACTGAGCAAGTTTTATAAAATGATGCAGTTTTGATACAGCAACATTAAAGTTAAGTAATGGAAATGGGGCCAATATTCCCATCAGTTAAACACCTTATAATCTCAGTGTTACTCTTTAACGTTATCACGGCATTTGACTGACCGTAGGAGGTTGGGCTTAACGCTGAAGCCCCGCCCCCACATGTATTCAGGGGGCGTGGCCTGTGAAGCAGCCGAGACACAGGAAGCCTTTTGAATCGTTCGTTTTTTTGAAATGTGAGAATGGTCATCTGACAGTGTGTTGGACCTCTGTGAGTACTGCTGTATCGCGAGTACTCAGTATTCTGGTTCTCCTGCAGTACTTCATGTAGCATGTTAATGTGTTTCCTCCAGGAGGGGCTGAATCTCAGTTTGCATGCCGAGCAGAGGCTTCGAGAGAGACGTCTTTATGCAGGCGATCACCACGAATTAAAACGTGGCGATGCTAGCAAGCAGAAAAGTCAACGTTTCCATCGCCGCAGCTTCAGGCAGACGTTTCTCACTTCCAGAGCCAAAGGCTGCGGTAGCGCTCGACATTTTGTGCGACTTCTGGGGCTGCAGTTGCTGTAGTTTTTCTTTAGTTGTCAGATCTAAAGGTGGTAAATGTAGGAAAACTGATCTTCTGTATGGGACAATTCATGGTAGTCTGCAAAATGTGAGGCTTGTTTGATTGTCTATCTTACTTTTCAAAGCAGAGAAGGACAAACAGTGGATTTGAGTACAACTTTCCCCACTCCCACCCAGTTATAAAACGTGTTCTAGTCTTTGATGGAGCTTCTTCTGAATACCTGTAAGAGCAGTTCAAGTTCGTCCTTCTTCTTCAACTCCCACTATTACTGCCTGAAGTTGGTTGGATGGCATTTGGAAAATCATGAAAAATCGTCAAAAGCAGAAAAGAAATCCACTTACTTTGAAGCACACAGAGGCCTTAACGTCTGTGTTTAATTGAGCCATATTTGTACCCATTTTTTAAAGCGCTAGGCTAGCAGTTTCCCTCTGTTTCCACTCTTTGTGCTAAGCTAGGCTGAACACACCCTGGACCTAACTTTGAGATTAAATTGAATAGAAGTCGCACTGAATGACGAGCACGATCGCAGCCGAAAGCAAACTGAAATCTAAAGAAGAAATTATTTTACGTTTACTGAAATAAACCTGCGTCTTCTTTCTCTGTATGGCATGATGACCAGTGAAATGTAAAAGGATCCAGTTCAGCGCCGAGCATCCGGTAAAAAAAAAAAATCCCCGTTTTTATTCGGCTGAATCCTGGTCCCTTTTTTCAGCTGTTGTTGGCTTTTAAAAACTGTTATGGAAATTGAAATTCTGAACTGGTTTTGTCACAGTGCAGAAACCCACAGCAGCAGTGAGGGAGATAAAGGAGTGGGG